GGTGGAAGGCGCCGCCGCCAACTTCGGGAAGGGATTCGGGCAGAAATCCAGCTACTTCCTCTGCCAGAGCAGCCAGGTGAGGGGGGAGGGGCGCGCCTGGGCGAGGAGCCGGGACCCCGGCGCGGCGCGGCGCGTGCTCAGCCCCTCTGCTCCCCGCAGGCCGGCCCGGGGGACGTGGTGGCGGCCGTGCAGGTGCTCGGCGAGAGGACGGCGCTGCCCGCGGGCTACAGCTACGCGCAAGAGTTCCTGGAGCCCCGTGAGTCCCCCCGGCGGCTGCCCGGAGCCCGCGACTCCCGGGCTCGCCTGTAGCCCGCAGGGGCCGGGAAAGCCCCACCAACGATTCCCAGGGCCCATACTTAGGACAAGTTCTTCCCTCTAATGGGAGTGGGATTTTGCCACCACCCAATGCTTTAAGAGCTCAGTCCTTGCTGGGAAGCTGCTGAGAGGGCTGGTATCGCTTCCCACCATCAGGAGCCCCATGGGGTCTATGCGGCTTGTGGGGAGGGCCGCCGGCAGAGCTGACCCCTGCGCGCTGGTGCTTTGCAAGTTCATACGAGCAGTGACACAGCCCCCTCGCTCCCCCTCAGGAACGGCAGTCTCCAAGAAGAAGCGTGTGTGCGTGAGGCTCGTGCCCGCAGGCACAGCAGAGCTTGTGGTATTCGACATCAAGCTGAGCGGCAAAAACAAAGCAATCCCACACTACGTGAAAATCGGGTAACACGCTGCCCCCTCCCCTTCTGCTCCCCCTCAGCACTTGCTTTCTGTGGCTTCAACGTGCTCTTGTCTTTTTTAGAGAAATTGGCAGCTTTGCTATTTGGTGTAAAAAGGGGCATGCTCCTAAACCCAAGCCCCTCCCCAAGCCAAGAAACATCAGTCTCACCCTGAAGCAGCTTTCACTAGAAACAGCTGAATCCAACCAAGCCAAGTGAGTGTTTGGGGCCACCTTTGTTTTTATGACATGCTCCTGCACTGCAATTGTGTCCTGGTTGGTTATTGCGGCCTCAGCTTGGTTTGTTGTTACACTTTGCTTGTGCTCCCCACGGACAGCTGTAACATTAAGCCATTTTAAAGGAGTGAGGGGATGGGACACACCATTAGCTGAACTGATAAATTCTTTTAGGAGTTTGCTCATTTACTCAAACTGAACAACCAGCTTTAAAGTTTCCTCTTAGAGCAAGGCAGATACAGCAGGTGAGCAGTAAAGTACTGTGCATTTAAAATGCTTTAATTGTTTATCTGGTGAGGCATAAGGCTTTAGGGAAGTACCTTACACCTTCTATGCACAAAGAGGAGACTTGCTATCCACAGGAGTACTGGAAGCCCAGGTTAGCATTGCTTTAAGGCTCTAAGCCGGGGCGGGCAATTATTTTGGGCAGAGGGCCGTTTACTGAGTTTTGGCAAGCCATCAAGGGCTGCATGACAGGCAGCCAAGGGCAGATAATATTAATTTCCCTAATTTTGGGGGGGCCCCACAGGCCGGACAGAATGGCCTGGTGGGCCGCATTTTGCCCACCCCTGCTCTAAGCAGAGGAAGGCATTTGTGCCATAGAACTGGCAGATAAAAACAGTTGAAGTCCACAGGATTTCACAGACTTAGTTAAGCTTCTGCTCTGCAGGATGGAGTTCCCATCAGAGAAGTCTGCCACTCACTTTGGCTCAAAACACACATCTCTTAAGCGACATGACTCCATTTACGAGGCCTCTAATCTCTACGGCATTTCGGGTAAGTGCAGCTCACTCTTGAAACCAGAGGAGTTGCTTAATAAACCACCCCTGTCTTAGTCATATGTGAGCAGGAGGCCTCCTGTCAGCTTCTCAGTGCAGTTGCATAGCTCAGTCAGAAGCAACTGTGAGATGGTCTCCATCTCTTGTGCGCTACAGCCTTTCACACTGCTGGGATGTCTCCTTGGGGCGTGCTGCCTTCTGGTATTTGGGTGGTAGAGTTGCTACAGGAATCCGGCCAGACTTGCTCTTGCTGCATCAAGCCCTCTGCTAGTTTAGAAGTTAAGCAGTGACAGCTTACCTGTACTTCTGCCAGAAGACTGATGTCTCAGGCTGGGCCACTTTCCTCCCCTCCCCATGTTTCCCCTACAGAAGCCATGTGGATGCACTGTACTGAGTTGCTGCATATCCCTTCCCAGAATTCAATCACTGCTTGCTAGGAAGGCTAGCATGGAATCAATGGCAGGTACTGGGGCTTAGACAGTAGCAGCCTGAGTCTAATGAGCATCTCTCTCTCCTCAGCAATGGATGGAGTGCCATTTACATTACACCCCAAATTCGAAAGCAGCCTCGCTTGTGGCACTCATGTGAGTATTGCTATAGGTTAGCACAACTGCATTATCCCTGGAGCAGCATCTAGTATTGTCCAACTCCATACATGCCTTTCAGAGCACTCAGGAATAATGGGCTAGGAGGGACCACCAGGATCCCCAAGCCTAGTCACTGGTGTCCTGTGGTCTAACAGACAGGGCAGAACCTTTGAGGCTTTTGCCCTAGACTAAGGCTCTGCAACAGCAGGTGAATTGTGCTCAGATGCTGGTAGATGAACCTTGCCCTATGTAACAGGAAGGGAAAAAGGGATGTGGGTAGGACAGTCAGTCAATACTCCCTGATTGTCAGACCAGTTTAACTTGGAGCAAGACACACTGGCAATGCATGCAGAAGTTCTCAGTCCTTTGGGACACAGACTAAGTTGACTGGTTCTCCTTTGAGCTGTGGCTAATCTCTTGGGCTTGAGGGAAGCATCAAAGTCCCCAAAAACCCAGTTGTGCATCAGAGGCAGAAGAGAAGCAGGCAGTTCCTTCTGTCACCTGCAGGGATCAGGGAACACAAAGCAGGTGAACTGAATCTAAAACAAATGATTTCCCTTAGGGATGAAGCAGCAGGGGTGGGGGTCTTGTGAAGAACACACAAATGCTTTACTTCTCATGGTTACCTCTCTTCCAGGCCTTTTCCTTCTTAAATAATCTGAACATCAAGTCACTTGCTGACATTGAGAAAGAGGTAAGGACTTCAGGACTGAGCCCTCCAGCCTCACTGGTAACACACTGGGGGAGGAGATTGGTCTGACAGGGGGAGCAGCTGGATCTTTATGCATGGCAGCACAGTGCTGGCCCTGGTATTCACAAAGCTTGGCTTGTTCTCTCTTTGTTCCAGTACGATTACACTTTTGTAGTTGAAAGGACTGCAGCTGCCAGACTCCCACCCAGCATCTGCTAACAGCAGAGATGGCTCCAAACGTGGGCAAGATCTGACCCACTGAGGCCGACGTCCACGACCGCCATGTTGTACTTGACTCTCCCAGATGAACAGTCCTGTGCCAGACCAAACCCTCTCTTCTGCCTTCTAGCCTTGTACTCATTAGAGCACATGGGTCTGGATCTCTTTGGTGCTCCTGTTTAGCAACTTCTGTAAGATTTTGTTCCCAGGGTAGTTGTAGCTGTAGCCTGAAGAACACTAGCCTGTGACCTGCCCAGGAGGAGGAGCATGCTGACTTAGGCTAGACATCCTGTGCAAAGTCTCAGGATGGGTTTGCCATGTTATTCCTTTGTACAGCAAGGGATCATGCATGTCATGTTGCCAGTGAAAGGTGTTGGCCCATCAGCATTAATCGTTCTGATGGAGGTAGATGTACCTACACCTACTCTCCTCTCCCTACACCAGAGCAGAGGCACGCATGGTGCATAATTCCCTTTCTTTATATGGTAGAAACACTAAGCAGCCCAAAGGATTGGAGGCTGATACTTTCCTACAGATTAAGCTAGATTTTTTTTTGCCAAAGCTTTTACAGGCCTGTTTATATGCAAGTAAACAAGCCAAGTAACCTGCTTTTCTGTGCTTCTTTTGTAACCAGTGCACTCGCTGACCAGGTTGCCTTGAACACCTTTCATGTCCTTAGTCCCCAAAAGAAGAAATTCCAAACAGGTTTTAAAATACATTGATTCTGATTTAATTACCAAATCCTGTAAACGCTTCCTCAAGCGTGGGGCAGTACAAAACTCCCAACGCCTGTTGGCATGTCCTGGAAACATCTAAAAGTCAGCAGCATGCCCCTTGCAGTTGAGTGTTACACTGGGGTAGTTTCCCAATGAATACATAAGACAGCTTTTCCGTGCCTGCTTCCAGGCGAAGTTAAGAGTCAATGTCCAAAGAATAAAGATTCTCCTTGCACCCTGGAAACTGGTCCTCCTGTGTTGTCCCTCACACCTGGCACTGTAGGGGGGCTGGGACCGTGACCTGTTTCAGGAAGGCACTTTAAGTTTTGCACTCCCCAGAAGAAACTGAAGAATTCGGTCCACCAACAAGGCAAGGAAGAAGTCAGCCAGCAAGACCTGAGCGATCACAATCTTGAACTGAGGGACCAAGAGAACAGGAGCTCAGATTAGTCAAACACAGTTCATTTTATGCATAAAGTTATAGTTTAATTAACTGTTGGGGGAATTTAGTGGGCTTCAGCCTTACACAAGTACAGTGAGTCTGCCTTTGGCAATGCCAGGGATTGGTGGTAAGCATCTACTGTACCTTACTATATGATGCACTAGCAAAAAAGGAACAGATATGAAGAGTGACCTCTTGATTTATCTGACCAGGACACTGGATTATGATGTAGAGAATAATAAGGCAGTATTCCAGCACCACTGCCTGCAGGGGGCTGGGCTAAAAAAGTTTAGTGACTGCTGCTGCGTAAGCAAGAGTGCAGTGGTGCCGTGCTCAGAGCAAGGAAAGGGGAGAATCTTCTGTATCTTGTAAAAAGGGTTGGTTGGGCTGGGGGGGGGGGGTGTAAAATGAGGCAGTTCTTGTTTAAGGCTATTTAAAGCTATACTAAATTGCTGTTCAAGATGTGACATCTTAACTCACCCAGACAAGTAACTTTGAATTCATAGTGAACACAGCCATTAATATTCCTTATGTATGGACTCCTATCAAGTCAAGGGGTTTGTTCTGCCCTTGGAAGTGAGCTATTCATTCGCAGAAGTCGGAACCCATACCGACTCCTGGAAAAGTCAGCACAACAAGCAGCCATTTGCACAGTGGTCCGTGATCTCCAATGTAATTAAAGCTGTGTCATGGGATTTTGCAAAGGTGCCTGTGTGAGTTAAGTGTGTGACTTCCAGTGGGGACATACCCTGACCTCTCAGCCCATTCTGGAAGTCCCAGTGCCATGAAGTTTCTCAGCAGTTACCCCCGGGTGGTGGTGCAGTGTGTGGACAAGTCCCTTCTCACCTCTGTGGGGATTTCCACCAAACCAAACTGTTCACTGAATTCTGGCGAGGAGCCTGTCAGAAGGCCCACAATAGCAAGCCCTGAAAGGACAATGCTCCATAGCAGAGGCTTGTTCTCTCGCAGACTCTCCATGAAAGGATGGCCCTGGAAAAAGTAACATGGCACCAAGTCATGACATCGGAAGACATGCTACACTCACAAGGTGCAGAGGGAGGCATTTTTCAGGACCAAGGTCTACACAGGCCTGAAAGGTACCTGCGGGGCTGTGGAGCTACATCCCCCATCGCACACAGGCAAAGGCCAACTGAAGGACTCCTTCAATTGTCACTTCAAGCCTCACATGCAACAAGCAAGGTACCAGAAGCAGGAACACCCAACCACATGCCACAGGACACATCCAATGCCACAACAAAGTAATTGGTTAGTGTGTGGCCCAGAGGACCCTAGGAGGAAGACTGTCCTCCACTATGGAAGGTGATAAAGCCCTCCCCAGTATGATGCAGGGAAAAAGTCCTGAGCAGAACAGCAAGACCCTTTAGCCACAATGCTCTGCATAAACCCACCCTAATCCAAACCTCGCTTCAGCCTTGGCCAACATCCCAATGGTTCAGAAGCCCCCTCCTTTGCCCCACAGAAGCAAGTGCCACCCAGAGGCAGAATTTCTTCTTGGCCCCTTCAGGAAAAGGCCTGAAGCATAGGACTGACACTTGCTGCCTGCAAAAGAGCTCCCTTCTATATCCCAGCAACATGTCTCATGCTGATTGATGTCCTGTCCTTTCGCACCACCCCTCCCAAACTCCATGCGAACTGCAAAGGTGAGGCTGCAGTCTGGAACAGTTCCTTCCCAGGGATACAGGTCCTGTGCACCTCACCTTGTAATTGATAGCGAAGGTGGCCATCTGCATGGCCATTGACATGATGTAGACTGTGCTGTTCACCAAGCTGGGCTCAAACTCTTTGTACAAATCCACAAATTCTTCTTTCCTTCAAAGAAATGGAGATGTACCCCTGTGAAAGACCCATGGACCTGGCCTGGATTACATAGGGCCCTGTCCGCACTTGGATTCTACAGGCCAGAGGGGCTCTGGGACATCATAGGCCATAGACCTTCACCCCCCATTCTCAGCATCATGCCCCTGAGCCAGAACTTGTGTGGGAGAGGCTGGCAGAGCAGGCGCAGCTCACGAGATCTCCTTAAACATGGCCTTGTTTCAGAGCGGAGCAAAGCCCCAGCGTTTTCTGTAGGGAGATTAGGACTTGCTAGAACTTTCCGCTGTGAATTTATCTATCTAATTGTAACAACACAGTGCAGATTGACCAAAACAAATGTCCTTTTGGAAGGAGAAACTGAACCTGCCCGAGCTGCTCCTCTCACCTCCAGCATGCCCAACTACAGGACATGTTCCCATGGTGACAGCAATCCATTTTTCAGCGGAACGTGGTCCATACAAGTGCCCTAGTCTCACCCCGAAATTTGAAGTCTCAACTGAGCTTTGGCAAGTTGTCTACTTCCACCTATCTACTCTTAAATAAGCTTTGGGACCATTTCCCTTTCCCCTGCTGCTTAGAAGTTGAATCCAAAGTGACCTGGGGGTTCCGCAAGAAGGGAAGACAAAGCACCCTGATAAATGCAAGTCTGTCTGGCCCTTCCCTGCTCAACCAGGGCTTCCCCACTCAGCCGTGTGATGGCATTCTGGGGAAATGCACTTCACTCACTTGGGCTCACTGCGAACCTGTGCGCCACGATACAGGTACACAAGGCTGAGGAAATGGACGAGGAACTGCAGCAGCACTGTCAGCACCGTGTACAGGTTGAAGATGTTGGGTAATGGTCGCTCCTTAGAAAGAGTTTTCAGTGGCTGGAAGCAAACAGGGGAGTCAGGGTTTGACTGGAAGGGATCTGCACAGGGGCGGCAGCATGGAACGAGCACAGCACTGGCTGGCAGGACAGCGTGAGCTCTGGGGACACACAGCTCTGCTGGTATGAACTGTAGCCACGACACCATCTGCAGTGCAGCCCTGGCAGCAGTATATTATATGGCTATGGTCTGCACTGAACTTTGTATCGCCACTCCCACACCCCAGCAAATTGGACAGGGATGCAGTGCCCAGTGGGCTACAGAACGGCCCTCCATTTTAGCGCTGTGGAAATGAACAACCTCTGGCTAAGCATAGAGGGAGGAGCTGCTTTGACCAGGCAGAACCCTTCACTCTTCCCAACATGCTAAGCACCCCATTTCCATGATCTGGGGAACACCCCCCCAGTCCAGGAGCCCCTGACTGGATTCTTGTACCTTTGACCTGGAGATGAAGAGGAAGCAGCCGGCCAACAACAAACCCTGCAGTGTCGCCTGGAAATCACTGAACTTCACCCCCTCTAGGTAGAGCACACTCTGGCTGTAGGCGAGGATCAGGGCATTCAGGGCCAGAATTTTAAACATCTGGAGCGTGGTCACTAGCGTGCAGCGACCTTGCTTGATCACGTGGCAGACTGCAGAGAGATAGAAATGCCCTGTCCTTTCGAGAGCCAGCTCTGCCGTGCAGCTGCCCTCCCCTCTGACAGACAGCACAACTCTGCTCAGAGCCTGGTGTGCTTGAGTTAGAGGCTAGAAGATGAGGCTCTTCCTGCCCCTCAGCCACCACCGCACTGCAGTTCTTAGGTTTGGTTGCTCCATGAGCTGTGGTTTGGGGCAGATTTCCCATGACAGTCAGGGTCTGAATCTCCCCTTCTCCCACCTCTGAAGTCACCTTGTCCTTCAAACTTGGACTGGTTCATGCCAGACTTGCAGGGGGAAGGTGGCAGTCATCCTGTATGCCTACACCCACACCCATGCCCAGCTGTGCACACTCCCCTCCCCCCCAGCCTGGCACTTACTGCACTGAATGGAGGAGAGCTTGGATGTGAAGGGAGCAGCGATGCTGGCGTCACCCAGTTTCACAACGGGCACGTGATCATCCTCCAAGTCCTTCAGAACCTGGCTGATCCGCTCCTGCTTGTCAGCACAAGAGAGAAAGGGAGAGACGTGCATGTGTTTTTATAACAGGCTAGGAGACAGACATGCTCCAGGCCTGCCTGCCCCTGCCAGACCTCTCCATCAAGGCAGCTGGCTGCCAACCATTAGATGGCCCATGACAGATCCTGCATCATGGAAGCCAGCTGGCCAATTCCCTCAGTGTTCCAGGGAAGCAGACAGGCCAAGCTTGTGGCTCTATATAAGGCTGCTAGTTACAAGCAATGCAAATAACTGACTGTCATGAACATTCCAGCTTGAGCTGGGCAGAGACCAGGGGCCCAGGGGGAGGAAATGCAACCCGCCTTGGGCTCCACACCCCCTTTCTTCCCCCAAAGTTCTAAGGTGCACCAAGCAGCAAGTGCAGTGCCCCACATTATGCCCAATACTTCCCACCAATAAAGGTTCTGGACTGGGAGGAGCTGGAGAGGGTGGTAGGGGCACTAGGGGCAAAGCTGGCCCTCAAGCCCTAGGTGGCAGAGCAAGGCCTAGGCCTGGCAGATGCGGTTACCGACCCGATGGATGGCCAGCTGCTCTTCTCTTTGGGACAGGACCCGGTGCTTGGCACCGCGGGAGGTCGGCTTCACAGTGCTGCTCCCCATGGCCGGCAGGGCAGGTCTTCCATCACTGGGCCCATCACGAGGCTTCCTCTTCCTCTCGGGCAGTCTCTCCGGAGCATTCGCCAGGAGCGCCACCCCTGCAGGACCAAAATGTCAGCTGCAGGCAGCAGAAGAGGGAAGACCCCGTGCTATGAGTCTGGGTCGGGAAGCAGAACAGGAACTGGAAGCCAGGACCCCAAGGTCCCTATGTCCCACATGGCAGCTCATATCCTCTCCCTGTGTAAACAGCTCTGAAATGTTCCGGTAATTCCTGGAGGCAGGAGGTAGGTGCTACCAAGGAGTCACTGCTGGGAGCAGCCATCACTGTGCACATAGGGAACA